AAGGACATTATTTATTTAAGTCGTTTCTAATAAGAATTTGGAATATAATATTTACCTATAATAAAATCTAAATTTATTTTCTCAGCAAGTTTTCGTTCGATTAAAATTTCCAACAAACAGTAAGAAAGTCATCCTCCATTTTATTGCGAATTGTCATCTTCGTATGTTTTATGGCCGAAAATGCTCATGTAATACTCACGGTAGAAACATATAATATCAATATAAGACAAATCAATCTAACAATTCGATAAGATGTCAACGATTTAATATTGAAAAGATAAAGACAACAACAATCCAACAATTAAAAATTAATATGCCAACAAGACAACAAAATTCCAAAAAAAAAAAACCATTATCAATAGCAAATAAGTATTTGCTAAGTGAGTATATCCCAAGATCCGTAAAATTGAATGCGAAATTCAAGCAAATAGAAATGAACATCCAAGTTTAAAATCTATCAAAATAAACAAAGTAAAATTTACATTAAATTGGAGTTAATAAATTCTCTGGTAAGTTAATTCGATGTCAATTTGGTTGGATGCGTTAATAATCTGAATGGCTGGAATGAGAGGTGGATTAGAAACTGGTTGACGGCATTTTCCCCTTCTTTCCTTGCAGTCTTTTGTTTTTGTAATGTATTTTACCTACAGCCTCTAATTTTGTCTTGACAAGTCGTATTCTCATGATCAAGGTTCTCTTCCAGGATTTCAGGTTAAATTCGTAAAGGCAAGGGTATCAGAATGCATGCTCTGGATTTATAAATTGGGGTATAGGTGCACCTTGTTTGCAAGGGGATTTGTCTTTCATTTCTACTGAGTAACAAGGAACTTGCACACAAGCAAACTGCTTGTTTGGCCTGGACCATTCCAACAATTGTTGTTCTCGATCTTGTCGTGTTAGGTTTTTCGTTGGAAGGATGGGGATTGGGATGTGTTGGGGTGAACCAGTATCCGATTGAAGCCAATGCGTAGATATTTTTCGGCCATTATCTGAATATATCACGATGCAATTAGTCAGACAATTTTTTCTTGACATACACTTCATATTTGACGAGGAAACTGTTGGTAGAGCAGACAGTTTTTTAGGTAAATGTTGAAAGAGCTCCAGTAAGTCGATTTTAATTTGTAATTGTGTCCTCATGTTAACTTATCATATTATAATAGGAATATTTTCCTCCTATGTTGGGTTTCTTAATGCATTATTTTCTGTCAGATGCCCCACTGCCACTTTGTATCACATCTTAAATGAAGTGGATTCTGAGTATTTGCGATGGAACTTACTAGTTTCCATCTCTTGTACACTGCA